AATGCATTCCCAGTGGAGCCGGAGAAAAGCCATGCAGCAAATGAGTGGAAATGACCTTTCAGTGAAGATGACAAATGACATCTTAAACCTCAGAGCCAAAACCTAACCTGATACAGTCCAGACTGACATGCATAGGAAAAAGCCAATCTGTAGTAATTTGCAAGGGTGGCTGAGAACCTGCAGTTACCATTGATTTCTTTGGGCACTAAGAGTCCGTATTATCTGTGCTTTCAGCCCCCAGTACATTAGTCACTGACTACTTGATTTACCTGTTTAAAAGAAAAACTTCTTTTAAAATGATTTAACTGTCACACATTGGATTTTTTTAATCCTTGACAATTATGAACCATGACGCAGGTCTCACGAGACCTGGTGATGATGGGGAACTTTGCAGTCTCATTTAAATATGATGATACCTCAGGCTTTGAAAATGGGAGGAAGCAGACTGCTTGGGGATATTTAATATTTGCGGTGCAAACTGTGTCTATGAGGTCAGTGTGTCCACATTACACTACTGTGACCAGTTATGTCATAAGAGATGGGCATAAGGTGCCATGAAAAGTTCAAAATCTCAGTAATGAAAATACATTCTTGGAAAAAAACATAGGTCACAGAAAATAAGGTTGTTTATCTTGATTAAGAGGAGCAAAAGGGAATTTAGCCCTCACAACTTGAGGGGGCCCTTGTCTAAGATCCCAGTTGAGATAGGATGGAGACCCTGAAAAGCCTCTAGATAAGTGTGAAACAGGAAAAAAAGGAGCCTCTTTGGTTTAAAAATTACTGTAGGCCTCCCATCCAGCTGGTAAGATTGAGAGGATAATACTTCTTGTGGACTGGATGATGGAATTCTGCTTGGGATATGGTGCTAGCAAGTTTGGCACTTGCATGGGCAAAAAGCAATCACAGAAGAGACTTTTCTTGTTATGAATCTAGCCAGGCTGGCAACACTGGTGGATAATGCTGGGATAGAAAGAACCTTGTGAGGAAATGTGAAATGAGATATCGGAAAGAAAGATAACATCATCGTTCTCTATGACATGATTCTTCACTGTAGAAATCAGCCTCAGGTCAGGTAAGAAGTACAGTAATTTCCTAAATGCTAGAAAAAAAATTCAGCCTCAAAGAGGAAAAGAAAAAAAGAAAAAAAAAAAAAAAAAGAAAAAAAAATTCAGATAAACTGCATTGTTTAGTTTGACAGTGTCTAATACGCTCCCTTCCAAGATGTTTAAAGATTTTCCTGATTAAATGTGAGAATGTTTCCTGGAGAAACGAGCAGAGCTACTGGAGAACTGGAATGTGCTGAAGAGGAGGGAGAGAGAAATGCAGTTCATACATGCTGAAGTGATGTGCTGCCATCTTTTTCAGTCCTGAGAAATAGATTGAACAAATGTATGTGTCCTGTATTTTTAAACCCCTATCAGTACAAGAAGCGTAGCAGTTACAGCGTTAATGGGGTAACAGTAACAAGGGCATTGTCCAAAGATGTTTTCTTTTACTTCTGCAAAGACCTTGTGGACAACAGAAAAGCCTCAGATATTATAGTTCACTTTTAATAAGCTTTGTACTTTTTTGAACATTGGGAGCAAAGCCTGGCCCTGCGTGGAGGAGCCAGGCAGTGCGGGTACTGAGTCCCTTAGGTTTGATGCCATGATTTTCCCTGGATGACTTCTTATTATGTCCTGAGCTATGCAGTGACATAAACAGCGATATATTTAGGATGAAATTCAAGTAATTCTGGCTACACTTTTTAGTATTTGCTCTTCCCAATGGTTTTGGACACATGATACTACTACCTAGCGGTAGTGTCTAAATTAGTATTTTGGCTGAAACAACATAAATGCTATGCCTATAGACGATAACCTTGTTTTTACAAGAAAAATGGGGCTCTTTCCAAGCGTATTTTGCACCTCCTTCCAGGCAGACGTCCCTGTCACTGCCCGTGTAGCTCAGCAGGCTGACACATGTGAAGGGCTGTGAGTGACAGCAGCAAATCTGTGACTGTTCGGTGACAGGGCAGGATTTATATCTCACCTGCAAGAGCTGGTGTGTGTTTTCTATCTGACTGACAAGAGGGGCTTTTGACTTATCTATCTTTCCACGGAGATACATGTCAATGGGGCGACTCATGTTGCTGAACAGCCTGGAATGGTTTATTGGCCGTGTGGGTATGCGAGAAATGTGCAACTATGTTTTTAATCAGTTTTCTTAGCCTAAACCTGGTGATTATGCTTGAGGCTTGGAAACTCTTTTTTTTTTTTTTTTTTTTTTTTTTTTTTTTTTTTTTTTTTTTTTTTTTTTTGCTTTAGGATGTTTTTTTTTCCAATTGTTTTTTTTTTTTTTTTTTTTAGATCTGCAAGCAGGCTAGTTTTGAGGTAGTTGTTTAGAAGGGATGATAGCAGAGAGTTGATTCCAATTGTAAAGGTTGGTTCATGAAGTTCTATGGTTGGTTCATGAAATGAGATCTTTTCATACCGAGTTATTCAATGACTTGGCAATTATGATTTTTTGATATGTGAAGGTAACTAATTCATATTAGCAGAATTGATGGCTATGTGGAAAAATTATGCAGATTATGCTATTTGTGGCATTACTGCTTTTTATTTATTCATTTTTAATTTTTTTTGCATAAAGCATACTAATTTGCTCAGTTTTCATAGTGAGTGGTATTGCCTGCAGACTTGGTGACCTGGAAAAAGGAGGGATCACAGGGATGCAGTGAGGAACATACCAGCCACATACCAGCTCTGATGGAGTTTTAAATATCAGGGATTTTTGGATCCACCTTCTTTGTGTTGCTATAGTACTGGCGAAAGTAGTCCTCAAGGAAAGTATTCTCTTGAAACGTATTGGTTTCAGATGTAATAGCGAGAGGTTGGCATGGAACATGTTCCTGTCTTGTAGCAGTTATATCTCATATTTAGTACTTAAATCGCTAGACATTTTTAACCGTTGAGTTGTGTAGCACTGCCTAGGTGCAGCAAGGGAAGCACTGTGGGGATACTGACTCATAGGTTCAGGTTTAAACCTAAACTATTCCTGGTTCCTCATTCAAATCACATGAAAATTCTTCTTTGGATACAAGAAAATTTGGATACAAGACGTGTCATGTGAAACGTAGGCACCACTGGCCAACTGAGACATCTGTAGGGGCCTTAGACTCCTGGATTTAGTGGGGTGCAAGGCTGGCTGTTTTCTTTGGTAAATTCTTGCTCCTCTTGACCAAATTCAGCAAATTGGTTCAAATGGGCAGAGCTGCACTATAAATTGGTTACTTCAGAATTTCAGAAATAAATAAAGCCTCCAAATTCTCTATGTTACCTGGGTTCACATCAGTGATCCAGTTGGGATGTCGCACCTGGTTGTATTTACAGTGTATTTTTTAGTACTTATTTTTTTGTGAAGTTATCTTGGCCCAGGAAGTATACAGGAAATAAAGGAAACATTATTTGTACTTAATACTTGAGAACACTTATGTTTACTTGGGATGGTCACATTGAACTTACCTTGCTAGCATTGCATTTGATGTAATTATCTCTAGTGTAAATAATGTATTCTGTTTAAGTCTTTTCCTTCCTTCTTAACAGGATTATTGGTACTAAACCTGTGTGGTAAGACTTATATTATTTAACGGTTTTTATTTTGTTTATTTTTGTCTTGTGAAATAAATTTGATACTATCAGGAAACTGAGACTTCATGATTTTAGCAAAACAACAACAACAGACTGACCAAACTACCGTTAGAACACCAGTGAAAAATAATATTTGGAAGATGAATGTGGTCAGAACGGAAGGAGGAGAACAGAGTAAATAAACTAATAGCTTAATTCATTTAATTTATTTCTTCTTTTTCTTTCCAAATCCCCTTTACCAGTGCAAAGGAAAGTATTAATTATGCTGGTTTTACATACCTATGGAAAATCTTTTTCTAGTGAATGTGTGTGCTGTACATGCAGTGATTAATTAGGGTAGTATACAATATCATTAAAGGAAAATAGTCAAAGAATTCCTGTAAAATATTAACAGAGCTGTAATGGTTAGTTATACAATTGCGATCAATGGCATATTTTTTATCTACTCTCTGTAATTTCTAATTTTTTAATTTCCTAATCTCTGTAATTTTGTTTGGTAAATTGTAACACACTGCAATGTACTTGAATAAGAAGATAACATTTCAAAACTGGGCAACTGCATCCCTCTATTCCTCTAAGAGGTACCATGATAGGTCCTTATTTTGATGAGAAAGAAAATCTGTAGAGCTTTGTTTCTGGATTTTACTTTTATATTGGGCAATCTTCACTACTATTTATACTTTTGTTGCCTTTCACAACTCAAGGCCTTTTTCCACAATGGGGTGACCATTTATGTAAAGAAAATGACCCTTTAATGCCCATTAGCACTGCTTATGAAATGGCAACCAGAATGTGATGCGTTACCCACCTCCTGTGTAGAGGACCCCATGGCCTCAGAATGGAAGTACTCATCTTGCATGAGAACATAGAGATTGCTACTGCAAGCAGGCTCTTACCTGGACAAGGAGGTTCAGCTTCTTTCCTTCACAAAATCTGATATGAGAGTAAAGAGGTTCCAAGACTCCTATATTATAGAGAGGTGACTTATTCATTATTTAGAGTCGCCTCTCTATAATATAGGAGTGTTGGAACCTCTTTAATGTTGCAACGAAACTAATTCTATAATATAGAGTGTTGGAACTCTAAGAAAATCCACACTGAAAATAATCCTTGGATGCTCCTGTTTTGTTCCAATGTTGCAAATGCATACCCAAAAAATAAAAGGGAAAAACAAAAGGAAAAAAATGCACTTCTGAGGGAGATACAGAAATGGATTTGAAAAAATGAAAACACTATCTATTTCAACTTCTTAAAATCTTCAGTAACTTCAAGTACTTTTTAACTCCCTTGCAGTATTATTTGAGAACAAACCCCTACTTTATTTAAATTAAAAATATAGAGAATAATGTAATGTTTGTTTTACTCCTTCAGCAGACAGATGATGCAGCACAGACTGATGGCCAGCAACAGACACAATCCTCTGAAAACACAGAAAACAAATCACAGCCAAAACGGCTGCACGTCTCAAATATACCGTTCCGATTCCGGGATCCAGATCTTAGACAAATGTTTGGTGTAAGTACTTATTTCTCTTTATTTCTTGTATATATGTTGCAATTTTATGCTATAGGCAACTTGACAGCAGGATCTGAAAGTTACTTAAGCATTTTCAGTGAAGATCCTGTTTTCAGTTATTTATAACCAAATATATGCCTGATTTACCCCTCATTTGAGGAAAAAACAAATCTACTTTGCTGTTATGTAGGTATGTGTATTCCATATATCATGTTGGTTTGCATCTTACTGAAAGCAGCTACCTGCACTGGCTTACAGTATTCAATGCACATATGTTCCTGATGTGTACATCTGGACTTATATGCCCATACTAACTTGTTTTGGAGAGCCTGATGCAAAAGCAGGCAGTGTTTGACCACATGAGCAGGAAATCCATTTCACAAAAGTGAGACCTGGGCTGCATTTAAGTATTTGAAAATCCAGGAGCAGGAATGCTTCCGTATTTCCAATGGTCTTAGCAGGTCTGCAGGCTTTGGAAGTTTTTACCACTATATCAAAGTTGGGTTTTGCTCAGGCCATTCGCTGTCTTCATGTGCATTGGCTGTGTTTCATAAGCATCGTATATGCCATCATACTGAGCAATGAGGCCTGGTTTCATCTCCACCCTCCAAGGAGATTTGTATTTATTTTGTCTCACAATATAATCTAGAAATATTTTTTATCAGCTATTAAATTCACCCTTTTCTTTTGATTTTCCAAGTTAGTACTCTGATGATTCATGGTTCTCCTGCTCACTTTCTCAGTCCTCATCTAGCAAGTGTTATAGTTTTACACAACGTTCTATGAAATATTCCATGCCACCATCCTGCTTTAGACATCCACTTATGTTTACTTTGTACTTGTAAAGTCTTAATATCAAGTCTTAATATCTTTATATCAATATGTATGCAGGTTAAAATATTCTGGGGTTTTTTTTGTATTAATTTGTATGAAATGAAGGAAATGGTCACTGGGAAGACCCTGGTGTGATGGTGGGAAACAAGGGTCACTGTGTTTTACTGTATCTGACTTTTTGTAAGTAACGCCCCCAAATGCCTGTTTGCCAGTAGCTTGTGACTTATCAACCAAATAGCAGAAAACATAATTGACCATCTAGAGAAAGCCAGGCAAATTTATTTAAATTGAACAAAGCACTGTAAAAAGACTTTATCTGGAAGTACATCAAATGAAAGGGCTTTTTTTTTCTAATTTGTTCTTGTGATTCTTGTTTTTTGAGGTTTATTTTTTTGGTAGGGCTTGTAATGATTTGTAAATGAATAAAAGCTTTATTTTTTCAGTATTCCTGTGTCTTAAGTGTCAAAAGACCACTAAACTGGAGGTTAGGTAGAGTTCTGCAGCTTTAGAATGACTTGGTAACAGTAAATTTTTAGCTGAAGATTGAAGTAAAGGCTAATTTTTGCAATTTCTTGTATTATTGATAGATTACTCTTTATTTGTCTGAATTTAATTTTATCCCTTTAGTTTAACATACTGTGTCACTTCTTAGTGCTACAGTACTCTTTGCAGCATACTAATGACACATGTAATGATAAAATAGAACATACCAAATGATACAATAAAATGTCATCATCTCTAAAATGTTGTCCAAATTAAACGCTTATTTTCTTACAAAGACAAGTATAGTAGAGCCTTTCCCTTTGGGCTGTGGTCCATTTTTGAATGGATGAGAAATGCCTAGAGATAGTGAGTTATTGTGAGCTATTGTAATATAAATAGTAGCAGTATTTATAACAAGTAACCTTTCTAGTTTCCAGCTTTACATTCTAGGAAGACAGGCATTGATTAGAATCACCAGGAAGTCACTTCCAATGTTCAAAGACTAAATAAAAAAAAATTGCTACTCTTTCTTGACTATGTTCACAGCTAATGATTTCTTTACTGAATTTGGATTCATACATGAATGTGAAATGACAGTTACAGGTGCAAGGATGTATCTGATCGAATCATAATAGTGATTTGGTTACTCTTTCAGTTTGTCTTTTCGGGTGCTTGACTTTGCTTGATTTTATGGTGCATCAATTTCTAAAACAAGCATTTGTGCTAAAGATGTCAGAAGTGTTGAAGTTATCTTATTTTCATGTAAATTTTCTATTTCTTTGCAGCAATTTGGTAAAATCTTAGATGTTGAAATTATTTTTAATGAGCGAGGCTCAAAGGTAAGCAGTTTAATTCACCAAAGGAATTTGATTATTTGTTTAAAATATTTCATATGAGAAAAAGAAAAAAAAAAAAAAAACTGCACTGCTGTAACAAATACATTTGAGGTTCCCCTCTACTAGAAACAACTTTAGAGCTTTCTGTCGGTTTCCTAAGCAGCATGAAAGTCATTGGACTCATTTTATATATTTTAAAGGGGTAATTTGAACTACTCCAAAACTGTCACCTGATTTATGGGGTATTGCCTTCTGCTTTCTTTATTCCTCAATAATAATTACCTTGTTTATTTTATAAGATGAGCCCATACTTGTAGATATCTGTAAGCAGATCTTGAATTAGTACAAGTATATTTTTTTTTGTATTGAAATGAAAGATGATAATGACACCTAATAACTATCCTCTTAAGTAATTAGCTGAGAAAATATGAGATTGTTCCTGGTTATTTAAATGCAGGTGTTTTCCTCTTTAACTGAAACTTTAGTACACCAACCCTTTGAATACAACCTATTTTCACACTTATTTGATTAAAAGAGTTCTTACTGTATTGCAAACATTTGATTTTTTTTTCCCTGAAAATTACTGTGCCTTAAATACATACGTTGATTTATTGGGTATTTAAGAAGTAAACAAGCTAGAAGAGCTATGCCTGCATTATCAGCATTTCTGGTGCAAAACAGGGGTCACCTTCACCTGAGGTGTCACCTCTGACATCAGCTGCATTATAAGGGTCTGTGCATATGTCATATGCATGGGGTGTCCTTTTCCGTTTCATCCCAAGTCAAACACATTATAATGTCTCTCCACTTATGCATCAGTCTTGTTGCCATTCTCACACTTGATTTATTGCTCATGATAAAATTACTTTGCTGTTATGCCATCCTTTAAGAAGAAGCAGATACTTTGTAATACTCTGGTATCTGATAAGTTTTAATTGTTTTGTTAATATCTCTCTTAATGTGTTAAAAATACATTTTAAATTTGAAGACATCGACTTTTTCTCATATCGAGTCACTCAAATGTCGTAGTTTTTTTCTAAAATTCTTCTGATGGTCATTAATTGATATTCCGTGATGACCCACATCCAGTTTCAACATGTAATGCTTTCTCAATGAAACAGCTGATGTGTGCAGAATTCAGGGTTTCAGAAGGTGATTTAAGATTTAAAAATGTTTAAAAGATTCCTACAAAAACAGAGATAGTAGCTTATTTCCATCCTTAACAATTAATAAGAACGGAATTGTGGATTTTAAAATTCATAATCTTGCAGCACCAGTGTAAATTGTAAAAAACTTGCAAAAGGGAAACTTAACATTAACATTAACATTAACATTAACATTAACATTAACATTAACATTAACATTAACATTAACATTAAAAAAAAATGTTTCAGATGAAAATAGAAGTTTCATACCAAGGTTTCTGCATGTTTAAAGGCATAGCAAGCAGTCACTGATAATTTATAGGGAGTAAATAGATATAAGAAAATAAGAAAAAAATAGCTAGTTAACTTTGCTGGAATAATGTGATCACTCGTGGAACTCTTCATTAAGAACTGGAGTTCAGTATTGTGTTAGCCGAGGTTTTTCTTACAAACTGCCTCAAATAACTGAGGATTACCTTGCCCGATTTACAGAGTTTATTGATTAAAAGATTATAAGACCTGCTGGTACTGCTGCTAGCAAGTCTGGCTAGACTGAGCCAGAAATTGAGTCTGGTTCTCTCGATGTGTAACAAGCTGCATGGATTTTTAGGATGAAGCCCACCAGAAGATGTGGAAGAGCTGTTAAAGGTTGAAAAGGGTAACTCAGTGCTGCTTTAGCAGCTGCAATTTTTTAGAAACTGCCAGAGCCAACTTCTATTTTATTACCCCTGGAAAAGTTTGTGACTGCAAGATGGCAAACTCAGAAATACAAATACCTGTGCAGCTCTATATTTCATATATACTAGCATAAATACATATGTGTATGCACTGTGTTCTATATACATTATTTTTGAGATCCATTTAATCAAATAACAAAGTTTCCAAACCTTCCAACATGCAAATTTGCCTATTATTAAATAATTTGACAGATGCATAGTATGAGTCAAGGTTACTGTTGAATCAACAGCGTGTAAAATACAGTTTGTTTTAGTGTAGATATATCTAGTTAAATATGTGATGAACGAGCCTGTGTTCTGTGACTGCTTCTGTGTTGGATAGGTAAACTTAATGAAACATTTACATATATAAGATCCTCGTTTGAGTAGTGTTAAATATGGAAATAAGTAAAACATAAAAAAATTGACAATGGGATTTCTTTTCAGGATCTTTGAAGTTCCTGTCTTATCTTGGCTTGTGCCTCTCCTTCATATCTTCTTCTAATTTTTAAAATAATTAAGTTATTATCTTTCACTTGTTTGAAGAAAAAAACAGCTTGCAGTGCTTTGAGCAAGTAAGACTTGATTCAAATTTCTGACTAAAAAGCTCCCACCAAATTTTAATTTCTTGCAGTGCTGAGGAGGAGTCGGTTGCTCAGCAGTGAGGAGGGAGGCGAGCAAGTAGATTGGGGGAAATTCATGCTCTTTCTGAGCCAAGGGTCATTGGATCGATTGCTGCAGTGATGGTTTCTGCTGCGGAATTCGCCTGGTGGCATCTTAAATTACGAGCCTTTTTACAGAGCTATTAAAAAATGGGGAGGGCTGAGGAAGCAATGAAAGGGGAAATAAAAGTTGAAAGTGAGAGTGTTGTGTGAAAAAGGCCAGGGCAGGCCCTTAAAATGGAGGGATTAATATTGAGAGGGGGAATTTACTTTCTCTGCCAGGTTCCCTGTGCTTTGGGGAAGGGAGAGTTATGTGCTTAGGTCTTGCTGCATGGGGTTGAGGTGGGAAAGTTGGGAGTCAGGTTGTCTGGGAAGGGTCTGCAAGTGGAAGTGCTGGTGGAGTGGTTTTTGAGCTCAGTAGGAATTTTAGAGAAAAAAAAATTAAAAAATTATACAGTAGATTTAAACAAAATAGGTTGAAGAGGATGGAAAACATACCACGACCATATAAAATATCTCTGTGTTATAAACCAGCACATAAATGCATTCATTAAACAGGTGAATAACCTGTGTTTTAAAGCTCAGCCTCGGTGATTTCTCAACATTTGTCTGTGAATCCCTTTTGTGTTGGTATTGCTGGCTATTCTCAATGCCTGTGATAGTACCTTTGCTTTCCTTTCATTTTCCTCACCCCTGTGCCTAAAAAAAAGAAGGAAAAAAAGCATGTTTTTTAATATATTTTTAAGTCAGATTTGTGTGTGTGTGTCACTATACATGCATTTTGTGTACATCGTATACCCCATATGCACAGTAGGTAGATCTGCAGAGAGTAGGTGACAGAACCGATTGACGCCCGAGCACAAAATTGAATGAAGGGGTGGCCGAAGGCTGCCGCGGGATGTGCAGGGATGTGCGGCACTGCCTGCTCCTTGCCAAGGTGCTGTGTGTAATTTGTAAATGTGCCTTACCCTGACGCACCAAGGGCGAATGAAACTCACTTGCTGGGATAAATTCCCAAAGCATCCGAAGGCATCGCAGTGGTACCACAAGAGCAATATTTCAAAGGGTTGGTGTATGTTTTTACACTGTTTGCTCCATGTTTGGCTTTTAAAAGATTTACAGTTACAAGCAGTGTGTAATTTTGCACAGTAAAAATGAATGTTAGTAAGACTAGAACAGGTAGTTTTGCCTAATGTTGTCAAGTATTTGGCACAGTCAGAATTTCACATTAGTCAAGTGTTTTCCTGCCCCACTAGCGTGGGAAGCTTTAGCAGCTGCATGTTTTATCTGTGAAAAGTAATGTATGGAATTAATAAATGAAACAGTAAAACTTACTCAAAATGTTTGCATTTTTATTCCTTTCTCAGAGTTTCTTTTTCTATTCACATCATGTGATTTTTATTTGCTCTGTTACTACAAGAAAGTTTCTACTTAGTTCTGAAAGTGCTTTGGTTTTGTTGGTGGTTTTATTTTCTTTCGTTTTTCTTTTATAAAAAATAAGTAAAGGCTGTATAGTTTGACAAAAGTTTAAGTTACCCTAGTGTTGCATGGGAACAATGTTTCTTACGATCACAAGAGCATGATTAAGTAGGCAATGTTTTAGAGGATATTGACATTCAGTGTTGAATTTTGTGCACATGTTTCTTTTATTTTGTTGAGATATCTGCATGTCATTATAATGTGGTTCATTTTCTTTTCTCATTATTTCATTTTTTTCTATGTGAAGACACTGTAGTTTATTTTAATTTCATTTTCTTATCGTTAGATTTATTTTCCTCTGTAGTGACATGTAGAAAGGTATTTTTGGTATCATTCTTTGAATTCTTCCGAGGGTATTATCTAACTGAAGACAGAGAGGAAAAAAAAAAAAAAAATTGTTCGCATTTGTCGCTTATTTATTGCACATCTCAATACAATTATAATTTTTTCTAATTTGCATGTTACAGAAATGAAGCGAGGACAAGAAAATATTAAATTAAAGAGAGAGAACATAAGCAAACAAGTGGTCATTGACTGAAATAATAATGTGCATGTTGTTTTCCCCCCTTCTCCCTCCTGCATGCAGGGATTTGGTTTCGTAACTTTCGAAAATAGTGCTGATGCGGACAGGGCGAGGGAGAAATTACACGGCACCGTGGTAGAGGGCCGTAAAATCGAGGTGCATGTTCAAAATATTTTCCTTTTCATCTTTTTTATAAATGTCTGCTTCACTCTCATTTGTTGTTTCAGATGCATCATTGGTGTCTTCTGTGTGCTCCCCTTTCCCCTTCCCATTGTTTATATATATATATACTTATATATAACGAGAGAGAATCTGGCCTTACTTGGGTTTTTTATTATGATTTCTTTTGTAATTATTATTATTATTATTATTATCATTATTGCTGAAAGGTGGATGACAGATTTGGAAAAAAAATGAAAACTTTAATATTTTGAAGTTATTATTTTGAATGTTTTGTAAATCAATGGGTGCAGTAGATTCCAAAAACCAGCCAACAAAAAATTAAAAAAAGAAATTGAGAACAACAGAAAAAAATGTGTGACAGACAAAACACAAACAAAAGGTTGTTTTTTTGTTCTTTTTTGTTCCTTTTTTTGGTTTTTTTTGTTCTTTTTTTTCTTTTTTTTTCTTTTTTTTCTTTCTTCCTTTTTTTTTTTTTTTTTTTTGCTGCAGGGTTGATGCGGGATCCACAGTGGCTTTCAAAAAATTCCGATTGGGAACGAAGCATCCAAAAGATGTACAGGAAAAAAAAAAAGAACCAAAGCCAGATTAGAACCAAACCGCCCAATTTTAACGTTGCCTTTTTAACCTAACCATCCGGCTTCTTTGGCCGCGTGGCCTGAGCCATTGGCATCTATTCCAAAACAAGCACAAACGCCTTTCAGTACCACTGGATCCCCTTCAATACTGCCTCCGTCGTATTTGTTAGAATTAAAAAAAAAAAAAAATACCAATTGAAAATGCTGTCGTCTTTTGAGTAAGATGTTGCATATTTTGCCTTTTCATTTTCCCCCTTCGACGGTAGCGCTTAGGGCCCTCACCAAACTCTCAGTAACCATGGTAACTGTATACATACCCATGCTGGCGATGGTGCTGAATGGTAAGTGGAGAAGTCCATCTGCCGTTTCACGTATTTAGCGCTGATATACCACGTGGATTTTTTTGACTTGTTGTATTAAGTTTTCTTGATGCTACATTTTTTTCTATATTGGTACGCCTGTAATTGAGTGTACGTTTTAAGCAAGCCTGGGAGGCACTGATTGGATTGAGGATATGACTTCGTGCACATCTTACTCAGATTGTTAACTCCATATTGTGTTAAATAATGCACCCTCTTTTTATCCTTTTGTTAGCTGTGATTTTAAAGCTTGAATGATTTTGTTAATTCTTGCAATGAAAAAGGCTCTTGTTCCAAGTGTTGAATGCTAGATGTTGCTTTTCCAATGGTACTTCTCTTCTAAAGGGTTATGTTGCACACTGCTAAAATTCGTTTGTCCCTTTTTTTGACATTTTCTTTGTTTCCTTGTACCTTGTCTCTTTCCCCTCTACTCCACTGCATGTTCCTTCATATAAACTTTTTTTTTTCTGTTTTGAATATTTATTGTATCAGTGTTATCATGGAATACAAGCATGCTCTTAAGTCTTAAATTCTGCAGTACCTTTTAATTTGCTTTTAATGTCTTTTTATTAAAGTTTAAATGATATGATGTTGCTTTATTGAAATGATTTGTAAGTTAAAATGGTTATGAAAGTAAATGTAATTATAAACAGTATGATTTTGTTATGCACCTGTTGCCTTCTATAAATTAAATTGCATTTTATTTTTTACATGACTAATAGCAGTAATAATGCATGCATTTAATAGTACCGTGGGCCCTCCCTGTAACCCTTTCTAATTCGGTGTTCTATGTGCTTAGGTAAATAATGCAACAGCACGTGTAATGACAAATAAAAAGACGGTCAACCCTTACACGAATGGTAAGTGCATGCGATCTCAGCACCTTGTTTGGATGTCAGTGCATGTGCAAACTCATCCCTGTGCCTGACGGGAGTGACCCCCATGCTGATGAAGTGTCCTGGTCCTGCGTCTCTCCTGGGGCTCGGGCAGTCCAGGGATCCCCTTTGGAAACTTGTTGCAGATGGGCCCTGGTTCCCTTTGTGCAGAGCTCTGCTGTGCGTGCAGCGCTCTGCTGGATGGGAGTCTGAGTGTTCAACCTCAGGGGTTTTTGGAGAGGAAAATGCACCTGGGAGGAGAGCACAGTTCTTGTCCAGCCACGTGCAGTGTTAATGTTGCGATAGATGAGCTCCTCACAGGATTCAGTTTTCCTTGGTGATGGAGGTAAGGAGGCCAGTGAAAGGAATGTCTCTGTCAACCATGAGATACTTTCCAGTACTGAGACGTGCATTTAATTGTATTAGATTATATTCTGTGTCGTTCTTTTGCAATTTGCTAAGGGTAAAGGGCAAACTGTAATTGGATGTTGTTTCCTTGTTTCCTTTTTTTTTTTTTTTTTTTTTTTTTTTTTTTTTTTTTTTTCTTTTTCTTTTTTTTTCCCCCTATGGAGAATTTAAATCCCAAGTTGCTTAAAAGTTCTAAATCTGGTATTGACCTAGCTATCACTGTAAAGTTACACAATAGTGATAGAAGGTCATCTACAGCTATTTGAGAGGTTTGGAGACAATCAATTTTAAAAATATTTCCTTTGGCAGTGCTTAATTACTTGCTCAAGAAGTGATTTGTGTTCGCTAGTTCAGAAAATTCTAACAGGATCCTAACTGAACCACTTCAAACAATAACACATAAATTGAAGTTAATGGCAATTATGTTTTCCAGTTTTACTAGACCACTTGCTTTCCCATTTAATTTCATTTTCCTATCCAAGAGAGAGGAGATGAAATGTGCACATAGATCAGGAACAGTTTCCACAGCTAGTTGAGACTCTTCTTGTTTTTGAAATATAATGGCCTTATTTTCTATATTTGAGCGCTCATTAGTGAGGTTTTAGTAAAAACTAGGGCAAACAGTGGCATTAATTTTTAATGAATGAGTCACAGTCTTTTTCCTACCCCAGTGAAAAATAAAATAAAGTAACTACCCTCAATCTGACATGTGATTATTGAGCTAGTTAAAGTGATCTGGAGAAGACTAGTCTGAAATTCCTCATACTTTCTCAGGAGCTGTTTTCTTTCTCATTTTGAATGCAAATATGCCTATGTGCCAAATGGTGCAGGTGGGAAAACCTCCTTCACCTGGACTGGCTTGAGACCATGAAATCTTTGTGCATCTAACCAGAGAGCCACGCAGCTTGTCTTGATTGCAGAATAATATTTTGCTGCAAAAAGGAAGCTATATTGATTTGATGGCATGTGATAGTGTCCATTTGCTTGTTATATTGAAATGACAAAAGGATAAAAATAGTGTCGGTATAAATTATGGTGTATTTTTTTGCCTGCATATTGTCCTAAGGATACGGAACTGCTATATATCAAGTAGTGCATCCAAAGACGGCTGGAAACAGAAGTCTGGTCATTTTAGTGAGAAGTGCAGTGTGTCCCCTACATCGCAGGCATTTCTTGGCCCACACACTGTCATTTCCTAGTAGCCAGAAGACAGAAGCAATGCTAATTTGCTATTAGAAGTGTTTCCCACTTGAAATGTTTGTGTCTGTCCTTTCCTATCCTGCTCCGTCTGGACAGGATGTTGCTGGCAGCTGGAGCCAGTGCAGTTCAACACATAAAACCCAGCCCTTGGGTTTGGGAATCCATGCCCCAAAGGACAGCAATCTGCTGCACACATTTTGAGGGGTTTTGAGGGCCAGGGCAAACTCTGGTCCATCCATTTTGATCTTTTCGGGGTTTTTTTAGTGCTTGAGATCCCCCAAAGTTGGGGGAAGCAGTCCTGTTCCTCTAGCAGAGTCATTGCCATCGACAAGGAATGAAGTGTAGATGACAATGTGCTTCATTCGGTTTAATCAGGATTTCTGTTATCAGTCATCTTGATACTGTATGATTCCACTTCTTCCTCATTTTTTCAGGAATTAGCCAACGCTGTAGGTGATTATTAAAGATCACTGGTGTCTAAAGTAAAGGTCCCTTCTTTTAAATAAAATAAAAGACTATATGTTTCTGTGTCCAAGCATATTACCATTTTAAAGATGCTTCTTGCGCATGTAGCCTGGAAATTTTATTTGTATATACATACCGATTTAGACCTGCTTCTGTTTTAGTAGATGACTTGATTTTTAAGTGTATTTGGTGGCTGAAGTGTATTTGGTTGACAGGTTTGCAAAACAGAGCCAGGACATGTCCAGCAGTGTTGTGTTATGTGAAACAGACATTATATCGTGCCTTAATATTGACTACAAGTTAAAAATTGCACTGTGTTTTGTCTTTCATTCCTCAGTGTTGCTGGTTGCTGATAACAGGGCTCATGCTATAAATACAATTGCAAAACTCAGCAGGTTTTAAAACAGAATAACCTGGATTTTTTTTTTTTAATGCATGCAGCTTCATTTAGATAAGTGGTTTGCTTTTGTGTGCTAGATGGTTTTCAAAAGAAATTTGCTTTCCACAGACTTTGAGCGATTCCTGAATGGGTGGTTAATAAAAGTCCAGTTGCCAGCAGAGTTTCTTTCCTGTAAGGGTTTTTTTAGAGAAGATGCTTTTGATGGCTGACCTCGTGTACTTAGAAAATATGGCCAAGCTTCTCACTGTAGTTCTGCTTGTTTGGCAAAAATATTTCTGAGACATTTTTAGAGATTCCAAACTATTGTGCCCCCATTTCATCCATGAAAATCAAATTATGAATCCTACAGAGTAGATTTATTTGTCTTTCTGAAGGCCATGTTACAATTTGGGATGCCTGCCCAGTGTGGTGGGGAATAGAGAATTATGCAGGAGTAGCCTAAGAGAACCTGAGCAGTGAATGAGGAATGTGAAGCAGAGATCACTAGGGGGAAAATATGTTTTAAAGTTAATACTTGCATTGGCTTGGATTGGAGCCTTCGGCTGGTCTGAACTTGGGGATTCGAAATCAGAGCTTGGGACCATTACCAGAGATGAATTCGCTCCCCTTCCCCTCTGCTGCCTGCTCTGTGCACAACGCAGAAGGCAGCAAATGGTGTCGTGGATCTTTTTTTTTCCCCAGAAATGTTCCTCATGCTTATGCATGCTGAATCTGGCCTTGGAAGCAAAAATAATCCTTCTACGTAGCCGTGTCGACCACGTTCCACCAAAGCTTGTTGGCACTCCAAACAATGGAATGATTCCCTTCAGTGCACTGAGCTTGCAGGTCTTCAGAGGAACATACAGGGTTGCTTTTGTGGCGGGAGGCTTGAGGAGTTTCTTCACCTTTAAGTTTTGAGCTTTTGCAGTTTTGTCTTAAGGAGATGACTCTGGTGACAATCGGACAAATGCACAGAATGGCACCAGCTGCAGGGAGTGCCCAGGTGCTGGAGCAGGGGTCCTCACCACCCACCACCCTTGCAGTTCAGGACCATCACCTATGCCACCCACAAGACACCGTTAGGCTTAATTACCATTACTTTAATGCTGAATATTACCTGTATAAGCCTCCAAAACTTGCATGATGCAGCTATCAGAATACAAGTGGAAAGGAATAAACTAGGAGAGTGACTTTCATCAATCTACATCTTTCCGATGTTTTCTCTTTTTCTTGAACAAATTATAACACTGTTACTGTAGCTTCAAAGCTGAAAGGTAATGAATTTGAATTATTCAGTAAGATATAGAATTCTTGCAGTTATACTGAAAGTCTAAATATTTGAATGATTGTGTATCGCAAGCAATTTGGCTAAGAATATTCGGCGTGCTATGACGTTCCCGAATATAATACCGTGATCCTTAAAATTAAAGGGGTCAGGTGGAAATCCTGTGATACTTTGAGAAGGAAAGTCATTTTAGCCCTTCATTGTTGGCCATTTTCCAGCTGCCACAATTATCTTCTGAGTATGTATAGCAGCACTGGGGAGCATACCGTGTTGTCCTTTACTCTGGATTTATTAATGAATTGTCTTTCTAGAGCATCCATCCTCTCTTTTGTTGATCATTTAATTAGTGATAAACAGTTACAGTGCATCAGATACAGATAGTGATATATTTTAAGTAAGTGTATAGAGGTTTCTATTGTGTTATTACTGGGATTTTATGTTACATTTCATTCAGTATTATGGCCTTACAGTCTTTACTGTGTTTTTGTGTTGCATGCTATGGCCGGGGCAGGAACAAGCCTCAATACAGTTTGCAGTTAAATTCTTCTGAACAGCAGACTTGATTTTGGATTTTAGAAACCTTTGTTCCCCTGACTTGATTATATGTAGCCGTTTTGCTTCCAGCAGCGTAGTTGTATAATCTATTTAAAGAACCATTGTTCTTGAGTTTATAAAATGCTTTTCTCAGATTTTTTCCCCCTTCTTTCCTCTTAAAACAGTTCCTCCCACCCTACTGTTTCAAACTTACTTTTGGAAAACCCCTAATTTTTCAGTCCCAGCAGTTCACATCAGCCACTTTTTAAAACTGAGAAATAATTGTTCAAACACTGAAAGAAAAAGGAAAAAAAAAAAAGTTCTCTGGAGGTTGGGGAGTGGTTCCACTGTTCAAAACACAATGATAATTAGTGTTTTATCAGCGCGAGGAACACTTAAAGAGTTTGCCATTTTTTCTCCTGCTGCTCTTTTACCTTTTCCCTTCAGTTCCTCCACCACTGTTGTCTTGAGCATCACGTGTGCTTAAACATGGGCTGTGTTTGAGCAGCCAGCCTCTGTGCTCCAGGCTTACTTGGAAGAAGGGCATCAGGTGTAAAAAGAGCAATTTTTGGAGTTTGCCAGAACACACACAAATGAATTTGCCTTGATTCTGTGGTTTTGCATGGGCTTTTTGCCCTTGCTTCTGTAAAAAAAAAGTGGTGATAATTTAGGGCAAAGGCTGCATTTGTATGCTTTAGCAAATGCAACTGCAGCATGTCCTTACATGCACATTGCTTTATAGCAGTGTGCTAACATGCATTTATCAGCTGTAAATGCAACTTGTGCAGCCGTTTCTGTTCCACATCTGTGACCGCTTCAGTGTCACCGCAGACCTTCCTTGCAGTGTGCACACTTTTGTGTTGCCCAGAGTAGAAGCAAAATGCTCAGATTACTTTATGGCCTTGTAACCTATCATAATGTAAGTCACCAGCACTTTTTTTTCCAGCAAATACAACTCTTGTGGCCTCTGCAGCTTGTAACCAGAGACTAACAGCAATGCAAAGAGTAGTAGTGCTCTGGTCCTGCATAATGTAAAGATATCTTAACTAGTTAGGTTCATAACTGAAGGTAATTGTCCCTGTTAATTGTGCATCACAGCCAAGCTAATTCACCAGATAATATACCTCAATACTGTTTCGAGTATAGACCTGTCCTGAGAATGGCTTGTTTCATTACTTATTTCCATGCTTGAGAGTGTTCTGGTTTTAAAGACTAGAGAAAATTGGAGTATGCCTATAAAGCCTCTATTAAAATGACCTTTTCTGAAGTCATTCTATATATATTCTGCTAATAAAAAAAAAAAAAAAAATCAGTGTCATTATTACAACTGCAGTATTAACTCAGCTATGTTTGTATTTTTGCTGCAGGCTGGAAATTAAATCCAGTTGTTGGTGCAGTTTATAGTCCAGAATTCTATGCAGGTAAGGAATCTATTGTTGTGTTAATATTGTGCTTTATTTTCATGTTCTTTAACGCATGTTAAAAGCACAGAATATGCATTCGGTTGGAGATTTTGTTTATGTGTTACTAACCATTTACAGGTTTATAATCCAGAATTATAACAGTTACACAGACAATACTAAATTTTGAATAGATGATGTCTGAATACTTTTGTGTTGGAAAACATAATATAACATGAAATGTACAGCAATATCCCAGTCTTACATTAGATTTTGTTTTGTTTTGTTTGTGTATTTCAAAAGTCATTTTTGTTTGAGTAATTATTTAAGCCTAGTGAAAGAAAAAAAACTGGTAAACCTTTACTATGTATGCATATACATTAACATGTACATGTATACACATACATTTACATGTACGTGCATAGATACATAGAACAACTGTGTTCCCATTTTTTTTTCTGAGCATTTTTCTTTCATTTTTCTATTTAATCAATTTCTTAACATTTTTGTGTTTATAATCTATTTCATCTCTTAATTCTTTGCTGAGGCCAAAATCTGATCCTGCTTACAATTTGGAATTAATGAGATTTAGCCTTTTTCTGTTTGAACTCAGAGTCCTGGCTAGCAATTCTTTCTACATTTGCAACGATAGCCTTGAAAACCAGGTTGTATCCCAAAACCCAGGTGATTTGTGAAGAGTTTGAGTTAAGCCCACAAAGCACTAGAGAGACATAGAAAGGTCATTTTTGAAAGTTAATAGTTGAAATTTAAGGCAGAAATAATCATGACTAATTCTAATTAGCATCAAAACTGTTTTCCCCTGTTAGTTTCCTAAATCATATATGAGTCTCCAGTGAGTTTCAGGCATAGCTTTGGATGTTTTCCAGTTTTCTGTTTGGATCCATTTTTCAGTTGTTTCTGTTTGTGGGTGCCCACGAATGTGTATACTAAACACAAATACCTGTTAATGTCTTTAGAATCCAAAAGTATAACTACTATCATACATAGGTAACTGAAAATAAAGAGGAGAACATAAAATATATTCTTCTCAACAAATTGGAGCAAGAGGAATTCCAGATAGATATTAGGAAAACATCTTTCACTGGCAGTGATTAAGCACTTGAGGAAGCTGCCTGCAGAATCTGCGAAATCTCCCCTCATGGAGACACTGAAATTTCTCCCAGCCGAGGCTGAACATGTTTCGGTAGTTCAGAAACTTCAAAAGACAGAACTTGTTCCGTGGGAATATTGTTACAAACCAATATTAGTATTAAAGAAGCTTCCTTGAATACATCCCGTGTACTATGAATAGATAACAATGCTGGAATTGACGTATTTATTGGAGTCAGATTTATTTCCTTCTTTAACCTATAAAACAGGAATTTAACATTGATTAGGTTTGAGCAGTTAGCCAACCAACCCTGAACCTGCATTCATTAAAGTCAGAGTTATTAGTCATTTTATATAAATGACTTTGTGTTAATGACAAATATAATATTCCCATAGTACAGTAATCAATTTTCTAATACGTATGCAGAATTAACAATCTGACTTATAATTGTCTCATGAAGTAGGGCATGAAGAGTTCACATAGTTTGTAAATTAAAATCAATATTTTCAATCTCTCCTGAAGGTAATTTTCCTAATTTACTGGACTTTTCCCTAACATTTATTTTGTCTTTTAATTATAAAATGGCAGGTTATTGAATTTTTTTTGTATAACCTCCTAAAGCCCAAGTGCGTTTTTATTGCCAACACAAGGAAGGTGTTTGCCCTTCTTAATGAGAATCTTTAATTACCATTTGAAGAGTATTAATTTAATTTTATGAATTATGACATTAGTTCTACTACAACTATGCAGTTCTACCAAGGTACTTTATGTTTTGTTTCAGAATCTTTGTCCTATTCATAAGTGCAAGCCCACCAGATGCTTATGCCCTTTATGGAATAACAGACATTTTTTTCACAGTTATATATATATTATATATATATATATGTATGTTTAAGCAATTTAATTAAAAAAAAGGCTCTGTAAAGATTTCTTAAAAATAACAACATAGTACTTAAAGTTTAAAAAAATACTTTGATATATCTTTCCTTTAGGGGCACTGTCCCTCACCTCTTACTTGTGGAAGAAGTAGTTGTACTACTGAAGACTATAAAGTTAGAAATGTGATTTCAATATAGTCGCAGTATTAATTATTTGGTTTAATTATGGTTTCCAGAGCTGTTATGTTAAAATTCTTCCAACTATTTCATAGTCAGTGCAAGAAGTTCCTTCAGCTCCTAATAAATGATGAAAAATTTCTCCACTTGTGAAATAAAGATGATACATTTGCAGAGAAACTGTTGATTTAAAGCACCTTTAATCTTCATAAATAAGTAAAAAAACAGAAGGTTATACAAAGCTGTCAGGACGGCACTGATGAATGGCAAATTCACCCGTTTCTCAATTGCTGGTGAAGACACACGCCGCAAGGCTTAACCGTATTGTACATCATATCTGCCAACTCATTTCTGTGATTAAATATTCCATCAGTGTGGGCTATAAGGCGGTAAAGCTTAACAAGATTCATATGATGCATCACTTGAATACACATAACTCACTTCCTTGGCTAGAGAGCACCCCGCGTGCAAAAGAAAATTAGAATTGAGTTAAATTACTCCCGAAGACAAGATCAATAGGGAAAGGAAAAGATCCCCTAATGCAATGCAAATCTAAGATATAGTTATGTCCTGACAACTTGAAGCAGACAATTAAAGTCAAATAGGGAGAAACATAATGTAAATCAACTCTAAAACCTTGAAGATAATGGTAAAAGTAGGACCGGTGACATGATTGTTATAGCTCTGGTTTTTTCTTCTGAGTATACACCTCTATAAAAGAAAATCTTTATTAAGAAAATATATACCAGGTAAAAATGGACACTTTTTTAGATAAGATTCGCAGTAGATAGATGTTATGTAAGTATTTCTGAGGGGCTGGAAAATTGTGTATTTCCACAGGAATGCTATTAATTTTTATTACTGAGTGACCCTTCTAAAGCTTTTTTTTTAAAAAAAAAAAAGAAAGAAAAAAGAAATGGCCAAGTCTGTAGTATATTAGAAGATTCCCCAAATTTAGCCATGTGTACAATTGTTCGATAACCTTTGGAGAAACGACAGCGATGATGGAGATTGACAGTGACGGGTTCATGAAGTGCCAGTTGAAGCCTTCTGTGATGATTCAGAGCAAGACTCTCTAATGATGGTCGGTTGGGAACGCACTAGAGGACTGGTGGGGTACATCTCCATCCACTGGCAAGTCCTAAAATGACCTTATGTGGAAAGCCAAAGGACAGTGTTTTCATCAGCGATCCATTTCATCATTGCACGCAATTCTGCTTTTCAATATAAGCATATGGTAATTCACGGGTAATTTTTAAAAAATCTGCATTCCCTTCACATAGCATCTCCTTTTAATGAATCAAAGCATACTGTTTGGAGGCAGGTGATTTTCCTTCTTATGAGGAAGACGTGCTTATTGAAGGTATCACTTCCATTTCTGCATATAGTTTCCAGAGAACTGTTTATCAAGTTCTCAGGCAGGTCTTCATGAGGAATTTAGTAAAAAAAACACTCTCTGGTTTATCTCATAAATTCTCCATGTGAATTGAGGCAAATTATTGCTTTATTTATATACTCATCCAATTTTAAATCCATCCCACAGTGATCCATAATTATGCTATGTTAAGCTAGAGCCCTATCCTCCCCCATATGTTCATATATGATTGGCAAAACACAGACGTACAGATTGATTTCTCTATTGGGAGTGCTATGGAACTTTCTTACCATAATTTTATTTTTTCTATAACGTTACTTTTTTTTTTTTTAATCTACTCATTTATTTTTAGACTCTGTGTAAGGCATGTGTGGTACCTAGTCTTCCTTGCAGCGTGTCCTCATGCTCTGTGAGAACGTAGAAGATTCTTTCCAGCTAACGTTTTTGGGTTGAGGCCATTCTTGTGGTATTCGTCCCATGCTCCTTCAGCTTATTCTTTCACATAATTGTACTTCCAGAAGCTTTGAACAGCTGGATTCACTACATAAATAGTCTTAAATCAGTGAGGAATATTGTAGGCACCCACTTTATTTGGCAAGCTAAATACTAAACTAAGCTTCAACTAAACTAAACTTAAATAAAAAGAGTCCAGAGGAAGAGAGGAGTTTCTGTTATGTGTGCTAACACTAATTCTCTTGGCCCATGTCTTAAGGCAAAGGTTTCTGGATTTCAAGAGCACCTGGGATTCTTGTTTTTGCTTTCTGTTCTTTCCCTTTGAATTTAAATTACTATTGCCTTAGCTCAGCAAATACCATAGAAACACTTCTCAGTGAAAGTGCTTGGGGTCTATCAAGCTGAATTATATGCTTACACAGCAGTTCTAAAACCTAGGGTAAAAGTTCACCATATCATATCTGTAAAGCAGAATTTTTTGGTGAAACTTGACTGTTTGTCACTATATAATTTAGTTTATCTCGTAATTCAATTAGACATGCTTAGATTCAAATTCAGGCCTTGGCTGCAGTTTATCACAAATAAATTTATTCTCAACATTACTAGCTAAACAGACTAAGTAGTGTTCTGTATAGAGAAAAATTAACTAACTATTGTTTACTATCCCTTCTGTTAATTATACAAATATGATCACTTTAAAAGCATACAACTAAGCTGGAACTGTTGTTTAAAAAATCATAATGTTGAAATACCATCGTACAAATGGGAACATCCCAGTTAGATTAACAGCACTGATGGTAGTTAATGCATTTCTAAACTTCTGTGGAGCTGTTACAAGCCATTATAGTCGAAATATTGGTTTATGAAAAATTAATAAAGCCAGTAGAAAATGGAATTCAGCATCTGTACTAGCTATTTACACAAAAAACTTCCAGAATTAATTATGCCTTATGCTACATTATAATGAGGTTTTCATTAAAATGTATACCGTTATGGAAACTAAACAAGGATTATGCAAAGAATAATG